GGGTTTGTTGAAGTGAAAGGTATTCCGCGGGATCAGCACCGAGTGACGGTCGGCGAGTGAGTTGAGTTGAGGTGAGGTGAGGTGAGGTGAGGTGAGTTGTTGGGTTGAGTTGCGTTAGGGTCAGTGGCAGTGAGAGCAGTGATGGATGCGATGCGATCAAATGCCAGCTCCCGGCTAGACAGCGGCCTATCCGAGGGAGCCAGTGCTAGGTGGCTCGGTAGCGACCAGTCTCGCAGCTGCCAGAACAACAGCTCGCTCTAGGGATTGGAAAGGGAGGGAAGGGAAGGGAAGGGAAGGAGAGGAGAGGAGAGTAGTGGTGACGAGGAGGGCAATGATAGTTGCAATGAGATGTAGTTGTGAGTGAGGAGGTTGAGAGGGAGGTATCAAGGCTCGAGTTGAGTTGAGTCGAGTCGAGTCGGGTCGAGTCGAGTCGAGGAGGTGGTCGAAGCTCGGGGTTGATGGCGTGGAGTGGAGAATTAGGCACAGGCACAGGCACAGGCACAGGCACAGGCACAGGCACAGACACAGGCAGATGCAGATGCAGAGCACGCAGATGTACTAAAAGTAACCCGAAGTAGGGCTATCTACAGTCAGTCGTAGAGTGGAAGGGTACAACGTCTATAGTAAAGGGCTAAGTGGAGCAGACAGCCTCTTATTAGGTGGCAAATCCCGAAGAAAACAACAACAAATATACAACCATACAGTAGTCTGGATGTCCGTATGTACCTAGTACCGGTATAAGGAACGGCCAAGGATGCAAGGAAGATGAGGGCAAGTTGCGTCAAGCACGTACAGTAGTAGTCAGAGTATATTTAAGTTCTGGCCCACGTACCCAAGGCCTAAGATTGACTACATGTAACTAGGTAGGTAGTCGTACATGTACTTACTTGTAATTACTACATGGAACTACACGTACCTAGGTAACTACCGCTATCTCCTTCGTCACGACGTTCATACCAATTTCACCAAGTCGATTCGCTAGATCGGGTATGGTAACCGGTAAACTAACTTCCCTCGCCAACGGGCGCTTGTCTTGTAGTGACTTCTCCCCGACCTGCGTATCATTTGCTGCGGTTCAGATGAGGTGAAACCAGACTGCTACATCCACTCGCGCTTCGATACAGTCGAGGTGAGTCAAGTCGCGTAGAGCTCGTTTGGGATCAGTGCAGATGGGAACTACTACGTACGTAGTACTACTAATAACATCTGGTGCCTTCAGCCGGGAGACGTCTCAATGCCTGCTACACTACAAGTCAACGTCTGTGCTTGAAACCCAAACGTCCTCTTTCTTAGAATAGAAACGGATCGACGATAAGGTGAACCAACGTGCACTTCTGATCATACTGCACGGAACAGTCGCAGGAAAGCAACACAGACCCGAGTCGGTCAGATACTAGGTAGAAGGAAGTACTACCGGTACTACTACCTACTACCTACTTGATGATGGCGACGGGTATACCGGTCGCGGCACATGGATGGCCCAAGTGGAGGATTCATTCTACAACGCATCCAAACAACGTAGCCGGCGGGATTCGTATGCACAGCTGCTGGATCAGAGCAGAGCTGGATGGGAGGAGGATAGAGGCTTTATTGGCCTGCCATGGGGGCCTCGTTCGGCCGTCATACGATTGTGCAGCGTATGGGAGCACAACTCACAAGTACCAGGTATACCAACACGCAAGTACTAGTATGTTATTTATATATAGTTATAGTAGTACTTATATACGCGCAGGGATAGAGAAGACAAGCCTCGTGGTATCAAGGATCCGTCCACTCCACTCCTACCGGCCGGGGCCCTGGGCACATTGCAACGACGTAGTACTACTACTACTACGTATCTCCTCCACCGAGCATCGCGCATCGCGCATCACGATCAGAACAAATCCATTTCCAGATGTCCAGATGACCGGAGTCGGTACCGGTATCTTGCTAGTCCGACGTAGGGTGTGTGCAAGCTCGCTGTGATAAGCGAATCATATGTCGGTATCAGGCCGTCGCTGCCTCTCCTCACTCATCACTCACGGCTTTGGGTCCAAAGGGCTTGGGCTTCGGCTTCCTACGGAGGGCCAAAGAACATGCGGCTTCCAGACTTGGTCGTAGTCAATCAATCAATCAGCCCGGCCGGCAGATATCCCGGAAGTAGAAAGAAGTCCTTGGGAAATTTCAGGGAAGGATCGTCAACCTCGCAGGGACCCACACCCAGCCCATGCGTAGCCCATCAAACGAAAAGAAAAGGAAAAAGGGAAAAGGAAAAGTAAAAAGAAAAAAGAAAAAAGAAGAAAAAAAAAAGAAGCAGAAAAAAGTAAAAGCATCCCGTTCGTTCGTTCGTCACCCTTCCCATGGATCGACGGACCAGAAGGAAAAGAAGTCTTGAGCCTGGCGGCGTAATTTCCAGGACGATGATCAGGCTCGCCGCTCGAGCAGAGCATGGATCACCTCTCGACCCCTTCTCCAAGAGGGTGGGGCGGAGGAGGGGCGTTCCAAGAGGTCCAAGGGATCGATACAACGGGGTTCATCTCCTTAGAGTACGAAGTAATATTCAACACATGACCGCAGCTTCCAAAGGCCCTCGGACCGAAAGAAAAGGAATCGAAAAGGAAAAGAGGGGAGGAAGGGAGAAGGAGAAGGAAAACCCGAGCAGAGAGAGATACGTGGCGGCTCTCCCACAGTGTCCATCACTCGCGATATCAGAGAGAGAGAGAGAGAGGGACATACACACCGAGCAGCTTAGACGGCACAGCGCTCTGATCTTATTACCCGCCGGTTGAGCCCTACGGTGCACAGGCTCCACCATATCACGGACCTGCATCCGTAATACCAACAATACGATGCTCACAGCAGGGAAGTCAGGAATCCGAAAGCATTACGGACGGTACTTGCGTTGTACCCTGGAGCCCTCCCCTTTTCCCAGCTCGGCGCGAATCAAAGCACCAAGCCCCAGATCCCTCCTCCAAGTCGAGTGCTAGAGGCCACAGGCCGCGCAGGGACACTCGAGATGGGTTCCATCCGCTCACAGTGCACAAGAACAGTCAAGTAGGTCTACTGTATAAGTCTACCGCCGAATGGACGAAGAACGAATTAGCGCGAAGCAAACGGACAAGCGGACAGCGGACGGCAGACAGCGGACACAAGCTCATCTCATCCCATCAAGTACCGACACTTGTACGAAGGTAGTAGTAGTAGTAGTAGTAGTAGTACGTAGTAGGTAGTACCGGTAGGAGAAGAGATATACATCCTTACGAATCCATATAATAAACTCAGCTAGGGCTAGGTCAGTAGATAGTAGTACTAGCACTACGTACTAGTAGCTCAACACAGCCCGAGGGACCCCGCGAGCGCCCAAGCTCCTCCTCTTCCTCCTCCTCCTCCTCCTCTCCCATCCCATCTACTTATCATCCGGCTGTCTGCTGCTCTAAGCGAGAAGGACATACCACTACCGTCTGCCGAGATCGGCCTGAAGGAAAGGCATATTCTCTCTGAAAAGAAAGAAGGAAAAGAAGGAAAAGAAGGAAAAGAAGGAAAAGAAGGAAAAGAAGACCAAATACTAAATATTCCCGAGCCCTCTCTCTGATCTCACAGCCAGGGCGCAACACCCCTCCTCGTGTACGGCCCCCACGCCTCAGCTCCCCCTCCCCTGTAAGAAGTAATCCGCAACGGTATATACACTCATGCAAGCAACTCGAAGTACGTCCTATACATACCTATATACTACAAATACAACTACTACAACTACGTTGTACGCCCTACATGTCTCACAAGGACCAGCACCACCCCCCGTCCCAGTCTCGGACAAAACCCAAATGTTGCACAAGACACGCGTGCATATCTACTGTCCTTACTGTACTGTACTACCTACTTCTACCTCCTACCTACGTACAGTAAGTCGTACATACATACATACATACATACATGCATGCCTGCCTGCACGCACGCGCGCATGCATCAATGGCAGTGCGAGCCGGCCGGCACTCACCAAGTCCCGAGACATGAGCACCAGCACCCGCCCATGGATCCCCCCCGTTCCCGCAGCCTCCCTATCCCTATCCCTATCCCTATCCTGATCCCGATCCCGAAGCCGATCCCGATCCCGATCCCTATCGGTAGTTCGTCTTCCTTCTTTCTGCCTTCTCCTGCTCTTCTCTTTCCTTCTCTCGTCTCCTTCCGCTGCAGCGACCAGGACAGGGCTAGGCAGGGCAGGCCAGGGCAGGGCCGAAGAGGCTAAATGCAAATGCAAATGCAAATGCAAATCAAATTTGGGGAAAATCGGAAAGCTAGCTAGGTAGAGGGACCCACCCCGCCGTCCGCCGAGGGGCGGGGCGGGCTCGCATCCTGGGGCGGGAACATACAAGTATATATATATATATATATATATATATGCATGTGTATATTTATATGTATATATATGTGTGTGTATGTGTATATATATATCTCTCTCTTAAATTAAAAGTGAGCAAGCAAGCAAGCAAGCAAGCAAGCAAGCAGACAAAGATAAAGAAAGCACGTTACAAAAATAAGTATGTATGCATAAGCCCTAAAAATATATATAGATAGATACCTTACACATACATATATACATTCATTCATCCTATTCTTTTCTTTTCTTTCTTCCCGACTGTAACTCCGTTCACGGGACTTCTTCCTTCCTTCTCCCCGCTCTTGCGACCGATCACGGGACCGCCACCAAGATCTAGGTAGGTACTTATGATGATTGTTCCACAGGTAAGTAGGACGTAGGACGTAGTACTCTACCTACCTACCTACCTCGCCGCGGCCTCGCATCCGCACCACTCACTCCCTCCGGTACCGGTACCTACTCTAGGCACGAGACCGGTACCTCCTGCATCCAGCCTAGTTAGTGGCCGTTCCCGAATCCGATCCCATCCCATCGCATCGCATCGCATCACATCGGATCGGATCGGATCGAGTTCCACACACGCACACGCACACGCACACGCAATCGCAATCGCAATCGCAATCAACCTAAACCCGAACCAAAAAAAAAAAAAGCTAAAAAGTTAAAAAGCTAAAAAGCTAAAAACTAAAAAATACAAAAATAAAAAAATAAAAAATAAAAATAAAAACTAAAGCTAAAGACTTAAAAAAAAAAAAAAAAGAGTCCTCGCTCGATAAGTACTGTACTGTACTGTAGGTAAGGTAGATAGATAAACCAGTACTGCAAGTAAAGAAGGAAGGAAGGAAGGAAGGAAGGAAGGAAGGAAGTACAGTGCAGTGCAGTGCAGTACCTCCCTAGATACTCACTCACTCACACAGGGACGGGAGACAGGACAGGTGCGCTGGACCAGACCGAACCGCTTTCTTTACTTTACTGTACAGTAGTGCGTCTTCGTTCCGTTGAGTTTACTTGTAGTGAACTAGCAACTAGTGAACTACAACTAGCACCCAAGCTCCTCAGTCTTTTTTCTCCTGAAGCGAGGAGCGCGACGGTGGACGGACGGGATGGGACGGGATGGGATGGGACGGGATGGGATGGGATTTTTCTTATCGGTGAGTGGATGCTGCGTGAGGAGCGCGATGGATAGACGGGCTGAGCGGTTCTACGCTTTGATTGATGCTGGGGGGCTACTTAAGGTAGTTAGTAAATAGGTAAGTAAGTAAATAAGTTAGTAGGTAAGTAAGTAAATAAGTACGTAAATAAATAGGTAGATGATGATTTTCGCATATCTACCTACCGGTACCAAAAGCTAGCTAGTAAAAGGCGAGCACGAGCACGAGCAGGGTAGGTAGGTACCGGTCGGTAGGTAGGTAGGTAGGTAGGTACACAAACCTGGCCTTGAGCCTTGGCATCGATTCTTACTATTCTATGGTATACTATGGTATACTACGGTATACTACAACCCCCATTCCAATCTCCAACTGTCTGTAGTTGTGCTCTGGAGAAGAGAAGAGAAGGGAAGGGAAGAGAAGAGAAGTCAGTTCAGTCAGTCATACCATACCATACCATACCATACCATACCATACCACACCATACCATACCAGTCCGCTACCCGTCGATTTGCTTCCTCGTGATGGGTAATTGAGTAGGGCTTTGATTATGTGCTTGGCTTGTAGTGAGAGTTGGAGTTGGGAAGATATATACCGGTACCGGTACCGGTAGATGGTGGGAAGAGGAGTAATAGTAATGGTAGTGGTAGTAGTGGTAGTAGAAGCACAGCACAGCCGGCCCGGGCCGGGCCGGGCCGTGCCGTGGGGAGGGAGGGAAGGAGGGAGGAGAGAGATACCGGTAGATAGAAAGAAAGAAGCTATCGTTCGCTAAAGTTGGGTTGGTTGTTTGTTTATCTTGTTTATTTTGTTTATTTT